GAACATCTGCGTTCTCAAGTGTGTCCTCTTGTGGGCTCACTGAAGCTCTGAGATCAGGTTCCTTTGCAGCATGCCTTGTCTTTGTAGTCAGTGGCCCTGGCCCTGCTGCGTGTTACAGCTGTGTCTGGGCTCATATTGTCCCAGTGTGCTGCCCATGATGTAGGGACAAGGACAACGGTGTTGGTAGGAAGGGGCACCTGCCTAGTATGTGCTGCCTTCACAGCCTTTCCTCATCTCTCTGAGGAGAGTGGTGGGCTATGCAGGAGCCTCACACTGTTGGCACAGGGCTCCTAGGCTGCCTGTAGTTTCTGAGTGTCCCTGCCCCACCACCCAGCCTAGCTAGACAGATGAACAGACCTGCCTGGCTGAAGCTTCCAAAGTGATTAAGTACAGGTGTCTGTGCTGCCGGTGCCAGTCATGTTTAGCTGTCTTGGATGCAGTGGACACATAGCTGGAAGAGATGAATCTGAAAGCCTCCTAGAACATGTTATGGGTCATTCCATAGGGGGATCACACTTGTGATTTATTTATAGGGAGTTCCAGGACTATATTCCAGAATAAATTCATTCTTTAGCTGCATGTGTAGATATGTTTTGCAGGCACGGTCTAGTTTGGTCTTCTGGGGAGAGTCAGGGTGAGGAAAGGAGCAGAACAGCCCCTGAACAGAAGCCGCAAGCTCTGGGGGATGTATTTCACACATTCTCCCTGCTCTCACCTGTGTGTGGGGAGGTAGGATGCTGGAGAGGTGGTCTGAGACAGAAACCTGGTCTGGGCATGGATGGTGGGATTGCTCAGAGCAGTGCTTCTGCTGTGGGGCAAGAGGGTGCCATGCTTCTGTCACTAGCTGCCTGTGCAGAGCTGCAGGCAGTGCCTGTGCCTCTGCTGCAATGTGAAGTGGAAGGCCTGGGTGCAGGCACAGGCAGGTCCTTGCTGCAGATGGCAGGGATGCTGCCTGCCTGGGCTCCACTATTCTCAGCCTGGGTCCCTGCTTTGAGCACCTCCTAAACCACATGGGGAGCATTTGGCACCGGAGTGCCATGCCTGTAAGTATTTCTGGGAGCTGTGGTTTATTTGCCCTGGTTATCAGCGTGGAAATGCAGTGCAGTGGTGGGAGCCTACTGCACAGACACTCAGTGAAGAGTTGAATGAGTGGGGAGCAGTGACATACAGCTGTAGATTCTCAGGAAGAGCAGAGGATTCCCTGCAGGGGACCTGGTGCTTAAATGGCTTTTCTTGCACACTTCTTCCCTGCATTGCCCACTCACCACCTTGATGGCCTGGAACCCAGGTCAGATCCTGCCCATGGTGGCAGAGAGCTTGCTGATGGGCTGTGCTGGGCTAGGAGAGCAGGCAGGACAAGTCTTATCAAACTTATTCAAAAAGCAAAACCTTCCAAGTCTTACCAGGTGCATTTCAGCAGGAAATATAGGCTGGAAAACAGCTGGCAAGCAGTAATCAGGGTTCAATGGTGGAGAAAGCAAGAGGCTATCAGAGGTAGCAAGTGCTCTTACACACACAGCCCTGATAATGGCCAGGGCTGCTGGCAGGTCAGGAGAAACCTCTGGTGATGGCCCTGATGCTGGTGAGACCACCTCTCCCTTCCAGCCCTGACATCTGGAGAAACACTTCCAAAGCAGTCAGGGTGCTAATTTCCTCTCCTTTATCTACCAGCCCATGAAGTTAAGCGAACTATAGGTAAACAAACCAAATTAAAACCAAGGGAGTTAATATCAACTTAGGATTACCCTTGTTATCAAGTAGACGGAACTGTATCAAATAAACCAACAATTCTTTATAAGCTTTATCTAATTATCCAGGAGGCAGCTGCCTTGTAGAGCTCCTGGCCTCAGACTCAGAGGGCATTCCCAACCCCAGGCCAAGCAATTTATTTATTGATACTGCAGTCAAATGCCAGACACCCATCAGGTGGTCCAAGTCCTGCCACGCTTGGGAAGGGATATTGAGATGAGCTCTGATCCTGGATATAGTGCTACAGGAGATGGCTGAGCAGATGGGAAATCCTTTAGCAAGCAAAAGTGGGATGCTGAGGCAATCACTGGTCTTCTGGTCGTAGCTCGATAAGGGGGAGAGCCTTCCCAAAGAGTTACTCTTTCCATGGGATGCTGGTTGTGAAGGGGATCAGTTTATACATTGGCTGGCATGGACTGGGAGAAATGAGGCTTGGCGGGATGCTTGCTGTGCATCCTGTGTGAGGATGCTATCCATGTCCATGTGACAGCTTGCCACAGGACAGGGAGGGACAGGACTCCACAAAGCACACTGTCAGTACAGGCTGGAGCTGCCAACTCCTTTGGCAGCTCAGGTGTTTCCTCTTTGCATGGGAAACTGAAACCTACTTCATTTCTTCCATCTACACTTCTACTCCTCCCTTTGCTTCTTCCCCAGTGAGAAACTGCAGACCCTCTTCCTCCATGCTTTCCTCACACAAAGGAGCCAGGGCCCTTCAGGTAAGCTAATAGCAGAGCTGAAGATGTTGGTCAAATAGGTCCATGATGACCTGCTGCTGTGTGTGGCTGAAGGTCAGCTGTGTTTGTTTGGGCTTGCCCCACATCATCTGCAGGCCAAATCTTGAACAAGTCACAGTGGGGAGCAGTGGTGATGAATAATAGTAACTGCTGAAGGGTGTGTTGTCAGAGACGGTCACAGGCTAGGTGGCCAGCCACACCTGTGTAAGCTGGGCTTTGAACTAGTGGTGGTTTGAACTGTACAGCAACATCACAGAAGGGTTTGAGAGTTGGGGTTTTTTTTTTTGTCAGCACTGAGGCAGGAGGCAGAGTGGATTTACAGGGAAGTCAGGGACTGTATGATGTCTGTAATGGACACAACTGCGCTGAGCCTGAATTAGACACTGAGATGGAGAAACTAGGGCTGGTAGAGAGACCATGCTCCAGCAGTTAGTCCTCTGCATTGGTAGTCATTTGGGATATATCCCATTTGGATTTATTTGACTTTTGGGCACACTTTCTGTTCTTCTTTACCCTGCCAGATCAGGCAGTCCTTAGCACCTTACCTGGGGATGAGTGAGTCCCCAGTGTTGTTAAAGCAAGCTGCCTTCCAGCCTCCTCAAGCTGGACAGACTGAACTGGCACTGCTTTTAGGATCAAGACTCACTTCTGTGCCTCCACTCTTCCTACCTCTGGTTTTAGTCTGGCCACATAGGACCTTGTAGGAGGAGGCACAGAGGAGGATTTCAGGGTGGTCTGAAGGATTTCTGTGCTCCACAGAGCCAGGATGCAATGCCCTAGGAGCTGATCCATGGGGTCTCTGCTTTGGACTGGGGAATTCAGTCTGGGAATATGATATTTCTTCACCCCTGGCAAAACAGTCTCCAGCTCCAGAAAGAACAGAAGTCCTGGAATACTGGATGCTGAGAGGTGGGCACAACCTCTTCCCTTCTCTTTCCCCAAAATATCCTTTACAGACCATGCCCAGAAAGAGGATCTGCTCAGAGGGACCCTTCCCTGACCCAATTCAGCCAGCCTGTGCAGTGCAGCCCCTGCTTCAGGGAAGGACTGGGGCACTGAGTGCTCCCAGCCAACCTTCTGTGTCTGACAGCAAAGGGGGCTTTCTGGGAGCCAGAGTCCTCAGGCTGCTGGACACTGCCTGGGGCTGCTTCGTGTTGTGCTCCCCATCAACATAGACTAAATTAATTTCCCCTCCATTCTTTTCTGTTGCATCTCTGGCCTTCCCCACCACTGAGGAGCTGCAAAGGGCTTGGGCTGCCCTGTCCCTGCAGATGCTAGTTCCCATAACACATCCTTTCCTTAGCCAAAAGGAGCCTTTGCAGGTCTGTTTGGTCCCATGTCTCCACTGAGGATTTGTACAGTCAGAGCATCCACAGCAAACCAGAGCTCAGATGGCTGCCAAACTCTTCTCACATTCGTATTTGTCCCAGAAATCCTTTGAGCCTCTCAAGAGTTTAGCCTTGAATATGTTTTGTTTGCAAAATAATGCACCATGCATGTGTCAGAGCCATTGGCACAGCACATCTCTGTTCAGTCCCTGGTTTGACTGGTCACTGGCTGCAAGGTGGGTCCCATGGACTGTCTCTCCTGGCACTGTGAGGCTACAGGTGCAGGAGGGGTTGTGTCTATCCCTGCTCCCACGAAGAGTTTGCATAGCCCCAGCTCAGCCTGTGCTCTGTTTGGCCCATCCCATCTAGCATCCAGGTACTTGTGGCCAAATCCAGATTGTGTTCAGTTAATCCCCCTTTCATAAATTCCTGCCTCATGCATCACTGCTGTGCTTGTGAAGGGCTTGGTGGACACCTTGGGAGATGGGCAGGTTGGGATTAAAGCTGGAGTCTGAGAGAGATGACATGGATGGTGCCCAATGCCCAGCAAAGTGGGTGAGCCAGAGCATCCCTTGCCAAGCAGGGCACAATTCTGGGGCCATGATGCTCCATCATGCCCCCTGAGATGTATCAGCAGGGACATGCCAAGAACCTTTCCCATTAGTGAGCCCCACGCTGCTCCAGCACTTTAGTCCAAGCTGCAAACCCCTGAATTTGATTGCTGCCTCGGTGCTGGGAGAAGCAGTAAAAACTGAACCCCGGGGGCAACAATAAAGCCAGCGGAGAGGAGATAAGCAGGGATCAAACAGAGCGCGGCAGCCACCCCGTGCTGGACTCTGAAAGGTCCCTTTGTTTCCACTGCCTCCTGATTCAGTGCTGCACTGCCTTCAAGGGCTGTGGGTGAGATAGTGGGGCTCATGGGCAGCCCTGCCGCCGCAGCCCCTGGCAGTTGAGCTGCCACCTGTGCGGCCTGGCAATAAAAAAAGAGAATTAATTTCAGTCATAGGACTGATCCCAGTTGCACACTGAGGCCTGATAACGTATCTCGCTGGTTCCTATCTGCCAGGCAATAAAGCCATTATTGAGGTGGGAGATGATGGAAGACACTTACCTTCCTCCTCATCCTAGGGGATATCCCCCTCAAGCTCTACTGTCTCCTGACCCCCACCCACTGTCTGCTCCACAGCTGCCCCACAGTCTGGCTTGATGGGGAAATGCCGTCGGCCCCGCACAGCCTTCACCAGCCAACAGCTGCTGGAGCTGGAGAACCAGTTCAAGCTCAACAAATACCTGTCCAGACCCAAGCGCTTTGAGGTGGCCACATCGTTGATGCTCACTGAGACACAGGTACCTTGGTCCTGGGGGGATGGAGCTGCCAGGGAGGGAAGTCATCGTCATGGGCAATGCTGATGCCATCAGCCCCACACTCCGTTGCTCCCATCAGTGTCCCTTCCAGAGCATCTCCTGCAAAGACCTGCCTGGTGGGCTCCAGGCTTTTGTGAAAGGCAGCCCAGAAATACTCTCCTCTTTTTGTCCAGCACACCCAGCTTGGTTTTCAGAGCCTTCCTATCCCTCAATATGCTGTGAGAGGGGGTATTGTATGGAGCTAAAATAAAAATGGCCCAGTGCATGTCCTTGGTGATCCTGCAGAGGCTGGAGAGGAGAAAGGCAGCAGCCTCTCGGTACTTCTTTCCCAATGACAACTTTATCCTCCGTTCACAGACCTGCAGAACCACAGGATGCCCCACAACAAAGGGGCTTTGGGGGGACCCTGCATGGAAGGAAGGTGAGGGGGTGAGTGGGAACAGGATGGGGCAGGTGGACACACTCTTCCCTGAGGACTTTCCCTTGGCAGGTGAAGATCTGGTTCCAGAACCGCCGCATGAAGTGGAAGCGCAGTCGCAAAGCCAAGGAGCAGGGGGCTCAGGCAGAGGTTGAGAAGCAACGAGGGCTCAGCAAAACCTGCGAGAAGTTGCTGCCGGGAGAGCCCCAGGGACAAGCAGCAGAAAGCCCTGAGTTCATGGAGCACAGCCCTGACTCAGGCTTCCTGCACCGCAGCACCACTGAACTGGGCTATGGCCCAGACTCCTCCTGCTCGGGGGGCGAGGAGGAGGAAGAAGAGGAGGATGAGATGGGTGCCACGGAGAGGAAGATTGGCTCTGTGATGTGAAAGGTGGATGGAGCCAGCCAGGAAGAGGGGCCGGGCTGCGGTGTGGGGGTCTCTGTGCTGGCAGAAACAGACTGTGCCTAGGTGGAGCAGGGAGGGCTGCAGGGCACCTGTCCCCCTTTAACTTATGTGTGTTTGGATCCTATTTAACTTGTAATTATTCCTCTGTGTGTATCTGGAGGAATCCACACATCCCTCCCTTATAAAGCTGTAATCCACATGCCTGTGCTTTTCCTTAGGGGATGGGAAGCTCTGCCCCACTCTTGCTACTGTGCTGCCATGCCAGGTTCCCTAGGGAAATGGGTGGGAAGAGCAGCCTTGCACAGCAGGCATCCCACTGGCACAGCTGGAAGAGAGAGACCCTGAACCATTCTTTGGCTGTGCTGCCACTTCCCTGCAGATCTGATGGTGCCTGGAGCAGTGCATCCTTGTGTGGTGCCAGCTGCCCTTCCCTTGATGGCATGAAGGGTTGGGAAGGAGGATGCCCAGGTTGCGTGCCAGCCTTCCTTGCCTCCTCCTGCACCAGTAGCGTCCCTGGTGGGGTCTGCACTTTGCAGAGCAAAACTAATCTGTCCTGTGAAGCAAAGCTGGTGCTGTTTTCCATGCTGCAATTAGCCCAGTTGCATCGGTGTGGCATTGCCCCAAATTAAGGTGGGGTTGGAGGCAGAGAAATGCTCAGGCTGTTGGTGAAGGCTCAGTGCTGTAGTGTTTCCCGTGGTGATGCTTAACCCCTCTCAGTCCTCTTCTGGTCTCGTTTCATGATCCTCTTGGGATGCTGCTCACTCTGACTGGGCTCAAATCAGCCCCATGATTTGAGGTGGATGCAGGATGACAACCAACACCCTCTACCACCTCCCTGGAAGCACTAGGGTTAAGCCCTGACTCTCCATAGATGAGCAGGCTGCACCTGTCGTCACAGGATGCTGGAGTGTCCTGGCAGGCCCTATAGACCTCCTATGCCTCCTGCACTCTTATTAGGTCTCTCCTTCGGGGTGCTGAGATGGCCATAGAGGCAGAGGGACCTGCCCAATGGGGCAGCCCTGCTTCACCACCCCAGTAATGTAGGGCTGCAGGACCAGGGCAGGCTGGGCTGGACTGAACTGGACTAGGCTGACCTGTTCCCAGGCAGCCCGTGGTGCCCTTCCTGTCTCACGTCCTGCAGTCCTCTCCTCTCTTCTCCCCGTCCCTGTTCGGGGGTGGCAAGGAGGGCTGCCTGCCCCGGGACCTGCGGTGGGGGTGGGAATTACCGAGGGGCAACAGCCCCTGAGTACTCTCGAGTCACCTCTGGTCAGTGATGGATGGACAGGTAAGCTTTGGTGCGGTCACACCTCGCAGGGCTGGGAAAAGCCTGGAAGCGCCAGGGGGCAGCGCCCTGGGCAAGGGGACAGATGCAATGGTTTTGGGACAGAGGGATGGACAGGAGAAGCAGGTGATGGGAGGGAGGAGTATGGGGACGGATGGACGGATGGAGGACGGTCCTGCGTGGTGGGACAGTGACCCGCAGTGGCTGCTGGCAGCCCAGCAGCTTTCCCTGGGTGCATGGCACCCTCGGTGCCCAGGTTCCCTGTCCCCAGGTGACCCATCCCAGGGCATGATAGGTCCCCGCTGCCCAAGCAGAATGTGTCCAGACTTTTGGCATTGTCCAGTTGGGTCTGGGGAGGCTGCGGTCCTTGGTCCAAGGGAGATGCCAGGAGCCTGTGACGGCTGGTAGGTCAGGTGAGGAATAAATGTGGGGAAGGAGGAGAAAAGGACAGGGAAGAAAAGAAGGAGGGAAGGGGAAATAGGGAGGATGGTACCCAATTCCCTGCCATTGCCCTGCAGGGATAGCAAAGCAGGAGAGACTCATTGGTCCAGGGTAGCTGTGCCTGCTCCCAGCAGGTACATAGGACTGGGCATGGAGATGCTGACAGGGGCCAGCTCATGGGTGCAGGAACCTCAGGGCCAGACTTCTACCACCTGATGTGCAACCTGGTCCTCATTCAGTGGGGGACCATGGAGAGGAGCACAGGCTGGAGCTGAGTACACTGGTGTAATGGAGGGACAGGGATGGCAGAGGCAGAGAGGAAAAGGCAAGAAGTAAAGCAACAAAAAATAGTGCCAGGAAGGAGGAGGGGAGCTGAAGGGATGTCACAGACTTAAAATATTCACCTTGATGGGCTGTGACAGATTTAATTTTCAGAGTACAATCATTAAAGTGATGGATGGGAGGCGTTCATCTTGTGCCTGGTGCACTCAGGCCTGCCGTGGCTGCAGGAAGGTTTGTTTTGTTGCTGTTATTTATGAGGTTGTTTCTGCAGGAGCCAGGCACTCGTCCAGCACTGGGGGGACAGAGGAGGGGGCACGATTGATGCCAGAAAAGTTGGGGTGCTGATTTATGGCTGCTTAGCTGGATGACTCATGTTGTAAACATCGACAAATGCCATTAAAGCTGCATCTCCTTCCTGCCTCTGCCCTGGGACCTTCCCTGTGCCATGGGATGTGGTCAGCCCTGCCCTCCGCCCTACTGCTGCTTGAACACCCCAGAGGGGTTACCTGTCCCTACCCACCAGGAACATGAAGGTTCCTGCTCCTTGAGGATCATCCAGCGCACTGGGAAGATGTAGGAATGTCCTGTGAGGGTGATGGTGGTGCCCTTTGGGAATGATAACTGGGTTACTTGATGCAGTTAGGGCTCCCCAACCTGTGTCCTTCTGTCGCTTTGCTGGTCTCAGACCCACAACTTCTTTTGGCAATGATCACAGCTTGTTACTTGTGTCACCAATGCTCCCAGGAGCTCAGGGTGACCTGACCCCAATTAGCTGCCATGCCATCCCTAT